TTTCAGACCATTTTTTTCCATTTTATCAAGTTCAACTTAAATCCTAACGCTATCGTCCATAATGTCTGCTACGTAGTCCAATTTGGTGTCATCTGCAAATTTACAGTGTACGCTCAACTCTATCCTCTGAGTCATTAATGGACATATTGAATAGTACCAGTCCAGACAGGACAGCCCCCTGGGGAACCCTACTCAATGCATCATCCTACTTAGACATTCATTAATCTATTGATAATTACTCTTTGAGCATGATTATGCAACCTGTTATGTGCTCATCTTGGAGTATTGTATTTTCTTCACTTACTTATACGAATGTCACAGGGATGGTTTTACAGGCCTTGCTAAAGTCAATATATATTACACCTACTGTTCCCCCACCCCTATGCACAAAACACATCACATTGTCATAGAAGGAAATTGGATTGGTTAAGCATGATTTGCTCTTCAGAAATTGGTTAGCTGTTCCTGAACACCTTGTTGTCAAAGCATCAGTTCCACCACCAAAGAATTACTTTAGTAACAACAAAAAATGGTGGTGGCATGGAATTTGTTACATTGGATATCTTAAACTAACCCTTTAATGCCTTATGTCCAACATACATCATAACAGTAGGTAGACTTTGCTGTAAGTAATAAAGGCTGATACTCTGGAGTGAAAGATACTCTAGAGCAGGGGTGGCCAACCTGTGGTATGCATGCCACAAGTGGCACAGGCAGCTTCTGTGTGTGGCATGCAGCAGATTGGGGAGAGGGCAGGGAGCACAGCTCCAGATAGCCAGATAGGACAGGGTGCAGAAAGCAGAGCGGCAGATCAGAGGGGGAAGGAGATCAGAGTGGCACTCAGAGGGAATGGGGCTTAATTTGTGGTATGCCTGCCACAAAGTTGACCCCCCACTGCTTTATAAGACATTGGCTAGTGTTGGAAATAATCTGTTTCAAATCCATTTAATCTTCATAGATTTGAAATTCAATTTAATGACTCTATCCTCTACTCATTAAAGTCAATAGGAGAGCTCTCCCTTTGCCAGGAAATATTGTGTTTGCTTTCTGCTTCTGTAGAAGAAAACACGTGGTGAAATATAGAGTACTGAGTGGAAAAGTGAAAAAAAAAAGAAACTAGGAAAAAGGGGGAGGGAAGAGAAAATTTCTAATGCTGTGCACTGATTTCAGTTGGCACCAGCCTAGTCCTTGGATAGAAAAATCCTTTTATCCCCAATAATAATGACCTAGATGGGGTCATATGAGCCCAGTATTCTCTCCTGCCCAGGACAGGGGGTCATACTTGAAGATCTACATAGGTCCCTTCTGACCCAGATTTATGAATCTATGAATCAATATGTATCACAACTCTTTCTTTACTTAGGAAAATATCATGCTAATAAATAGGACTATCTTTGGATAAATGTATAGACTAACACTACAGAGGCCAGAGCTGTTAACTCATACTATAGTTGTGTGATCTACAGACTGAAAGTATGGTTTACACAGGTCATGAAACCTCCAGCTCTGAGCTTAATGACATTATTGAATTAATTAGGCAGTTAGCAAGTTTCCATTTTTAAGACCCATGAAATCCTCATCCAGCATTTTATGACTTTATTAGAGTTAAATCCTTAGAAATCTAAAAGCACGAACAGCCAGACTGGCTAATCCTCTAAATCAGTGGTGCTCAACTTCTGGCCTGCGGGCCAGATCCAGCCTATGGAGCTTTGTCATCCAGCCCACAGGATACCTCATGAGTCCAGACTTTGCCCCTCCCCTGCTGCCAAATTTCCAGACCTGTGGGGAGCCCCTGGGGCTGGATAATGTGGCCCTGTGCACTAGATCAAGCCAGGGTGCAGCCAAACCAATGCGCGGCATGGCTCTGCAGCTGGATCCATGTGTGCAGGGCCAGGCTGGTACACAGGATCATACCCAGAAACTGACCTCACGCACTGACTGTATGCACAGTCCAGCCCATGGACCAGTCCTGTGCCACTCTTCCCGTCCATGGGGCTAGAAGGTTGGGCACCACCACCAGTGTGCTAAATGGTTTCAGACAGGATAAAACTTCAGAAATGGGATGCCCAAGGGAAGGAGAATGGGTAGAAGGTAATATTCTCAGCAATATGTAGTTACTGTAGCCTGACTACAAGGAATGCAGAGATGGTATTCTAGGTCCGGTGCTCAACTTTCAATCTTAGGCCCATCTCTAATGGAAAGTAGTTACAACTTATGATAAATGCCTAGTTGTGTCTTTAAAAATGGTTTGGAAAAGATAGCATCACCTGGTGCCTGAATTCCAACCTCTCTTGTGATCAAGACCAGCTCCTCTCTTGTTGATCCAGCAATAGAGTCATGGTCAACACACAGATCAGAAATTTGAGTGCTTTGAGGGGGCTGCACAGCACAGATGAAGAGCCTGAGTTCAGAAGTGTGCACTCGATTGTTTCTTGTAAGATATACAGCGTGTCCTTGGTATCATCTTGGCACCGCAGCCCTGCATAGTGTCATTCTCCATAAGGTCCCAGGAGACCTTTCCTGTAAATGGTGTTTACTTGTGTGCAAATGATTAACAGCTAAATAAATTGTATCAAAGGTTGAGCTGTATCCAGTAGGCATATTTTAGTTTTATATTGCAACACAGTCATTTGAAACAGGTTTAAAAAAAAAAAGCCTTACCAAACCATCATTTTCTTCATCGTTATTCTTTATAGTCAGAGATGAAAGAGCAGTTAATTAGTAACCATGTGCTTAGTAACATCAGGTGAAAAGCTCACTGGCAACTAAAGCCCCCCGGCCGCTATTTTGAAGTGCAGGGACACTGATACACGAGATGCAGGAGGTAATTACCATGCTCCAGCAGACTCGATTAATCAAATCTGCTCCAACGTGCTGTAATTACAGCACGTCAGAGCAGCCTCCATACTCGTGTACAAACACCCAAATTGCTTAATTCAAGAGATGCAGAAATGTTAATATTTCAGATGCTTATGGATACTTATTTACTTGTGCAAAGAGGAACAGTGTTTCCTCACTCTGTTAAACTGAAGTTGTCTTTTAACCATGGTCTGTGTGGTTAGCATTAATGCACTTGATTTTTGTATGCCCCCTTTCATTCCTGTAATAGCTAATGTGCCGTGCTTCGTCATTGCTGCTGCTGTTAGTTAAGTAGTCCTGAGAGTATGGCCCCATAATCCTATAGACTGCAAGTGAATGACTGGTCCAAAAACCTTACAGTGTTAATAGATGAGATGACATAAATTGGAAGAAGGATGGCTATTCCTCCCATTTTAAACAAGGGAAACTGAAACTAAGAGGGTCCAGATTTTCCAAAGTTCTGAGTTAAATTTAGCCATTAATTTGGCTGCCTAAATTGAAGCTTTCAAGTTGTTTTTACAATGTGACTCACCTCAAATTTCATGAGAAGTCTTTGGTCATGTCGGGAACTGAACCCAAACTAGCTTCTTCACCTCAAGATCATACTTCCTTCTATACAGGGGGATATAGTTGACACCAGAACCAAAGTAACCATGAAGGCCGCTGCTACAGCCATTTTGCACGTATCTGCAGCCTTTGGACTTGATTCTGCAAAGCGTTCATTGCCCTTTATTCAGGATGAATTCACCCTTCGAATTCAATGAGATACGGATGTGGTTCGGACTACTTTGTGGAACTCAGTCCCTGACAGGATTTTCCTTCGGCCATGTCTAAATTACAAACTCCATTCTTCACAACACTGTCCCCTAACATGGTTTTTGATCACTGCCTAACAGAATGGAAAGGTAACTAGCACTGCTGAGAATCAGTGCCAGGTAGCCCATGCTCAGTGCTTGTTGGGGATTAATGTAATGTTGGGGGAAATGCATGGCATGTCTGACAACATTGGGTCTGGGCATGTTGAGTTTACAACTTAGATATGGCCTTCAATGACACTATTTGAGGAAGAGAGAATATTAACCATGATAAGGAAGTGCCTCTGCCTCCCCCTCATCTTTCCAAAGAATGCCAGGGCATGTTTAAATTTCAACTGGAAACCTTTCAACCTGCAAACACGAACATCAGGGCAGCTGCCACATGAACTCAAGACATTACGTATAACTGCCGTCTGCGTCTTCTGACCCAGAGGTGAAAGACAGTGCTGTCAAATGAGGTGTAAATAAAACTATTTGTTTCCCAGACAGCTCAGGGTTTACATAGGGGGAAACAGAAGTGGGAGGGCAGGGAAGGAGTAAAATGAAACCCAATGTGTATAATATACACTCTCACCAGGTCACTACTGGCCTAGCCACTGTAAGACCTTAGATATCCAGGAGAAGGAAAATCCAGTGCATCATGCTCAAGATGATTCATAGTTTATTTGTCATGGAACAACACTAAGTTGTGCTTGCATGAAATTCAGTAATTTCTGGCCGAACTGAAAGAACTCTTTTCGAACAGCACAATCATGGGGTCTGATGCGGCAGTTCTGACCCAAATAGCGTCCTAGACCCACATCCAAAGCAGTGCCAAACACTTCTAACTTCTAGCAAAGGGCTGAGCACTCCTCAGGAACTAGACTATTGTCCATGGAACAAAGAGTTTCACTGCAGGATCCGGCAGGATCTTGTGCAGGTTATAGATGCCGTGTGTCCTTTAGAACAATAAATACAAGCGATTAAAAAACAAGTACAATCTTCCCAACAATAAGGCATTGGATTTTTAGCACGTTTCCCACTTTCAATTGAACTGCTTTTGGAACAGAGATATAAATATTTTACTTTATTGGTGAAATATTCATTTTTTTTCTGCAGTGTCTTCAAAGAAACACCATGAATGTAGGGGAAATGTAAATTGCTTCTGAGCTGATCTTCATTTTCTCCAACTCCCCCAGCAGAGATTTTGGAGCTTTCAGCAGAAAGCTCTGTGTTAACGGTTATAAAGTTTGTCTTGTGAAGTTGTCAGGAGGAGGGTCAGCTTTTGTTTGCCAGGTAGGAAAAGCTCCCTCCTAATTTACCCTTTGCTACTTGAACCACTTTCAAATCCCATAACAGATTGAACTAGAGTTTAGGCTGTTTAGGATTGCTGAGAGCATTTGCTGGTGGTACCTTGGAATCACGAGTACATCACGTACAAGATATCTTTTCTACCTAATGAAGCTGTTTCTGGTTGGTTTGGTATTGGGATTTCTAAAGGTACATTGCTTAAGGTAAGTGAATTTTCTTAAATAAATATCTATGCAACACCATAAAAGGTAATGGAATACAACGATGATCGGCTGCTTTTACTTTGTACGGTGAATAAGGAATGTCATCTTGAGCTACTTCTGTTATGAGCCATGTAACAAAAGATGCGGCTTTAAAATGTATTGTAGTACAAAGTGACTGGTTTTAAAATAAAAAATGATCTTGTCTGATAAACTTATATGCCAAAATATCATAGCCATGCTGTAATGAAGGGAAAATGCTTGCATTGCAAAATGTTGTGAGCATACTACGGTCCTGGGTTTCTTTGGGGTTGTTCAGGACACTAATCGAGGCTAATGCTTGATACCTCTGCTTCTGCTTACTGACTGGCACTTTCAGGGGCACGGGCTCAGCAGAACTTTTATGTATCTAGTGACTGGGATCTTAAATTTGACAGCTGTGTTAATAACTTTGGGGGTTTACTGCCGTATACAAACATCCTTCACAGTGGGATCATTAATTTCTAAATGCACAGTATTAATCAGACCAATCTGCTAAGCAAGGGGCTCTGCTCATGATGTTTATATAGATTCATAGTTTCATAGTTGTTAGGGGCTGGAAGGGATCTTACAGATCATCAGGTCCAGCCCCCCTGCACTTGGGCAGGAAAGACCACTGGGATCAGATGACCCCAGCAAGATGGACATCAAGACGTTTTTTGAAGGTCACCAGGGTGGATGGCCACGAGCTCCCATGATCCAGCCCCCACTTTGCTGGAGGCACCGAGGGCATCAATAGGGGTAATTTGTTTATTACTGACAGGGTGAGAGGAGGAAGCATCTAACATCACTCCCTGAAAATCCATCTGACCTATAGGAAACAGGACTGGTAGGCTCTGCAAAATGAAAAAGTAGATGAATGTAATGGAGTCTGGAAGGGCAAATGATCAAGATGGGGTAGGGACTAAAACCCAAGGGCTCTTCAGGTTTCCAAGATGAAATTGGAGGACTTTGCATTAAGTGCGGGAAGGTTTATTACTAGGATAGTTGAACACTAGACACGGCACAGTGACAGAAATAGTTTTATCTATGCTAGAATACTAACTCGTGAGTCATTGTCACGTGACGTGGGGCCAGGAAATGACTATTAGTAACCTCGTTACTGAGATCAGTATCAACTACATTCATTGGCTTCTTTTTACGCCTGTGGACTGTAGTTGGTGCTACCTAAATAAAGAATGATATGTATGTATGGAAACCAGCAACAGATAAAGGAAAGTTTACAGAAACCAACAGCCTGCATTTTACTACTAGAAACCACCTATATACATACCCAGTGCTCAAGGTTGGCTTGTACAGCCACACTGAAGCTAGATGAGAACTAGCTTGGGTAGCACGTCTACACATACTTTAATCAAACTTCCTGCTTGCAGTGTTAGAAATATTTTTGGCCTGCTTCAGCTCCCAGGAGTTGCACCTGTGTAAAGTGACTTGGAGATAGATCACCATCCAGATCTATATTTTGCATGAAAGACTTAGTGGAGCACAACACAGGATTTTTATTTCACATGGACACACACAGGCATTGACCTAGAGCCCCTGTTCTGAACTCCCGGCTCTGTGATTCTACACACTGAAGTTGTCATTCGTTATCCGCATACAGCAATGAAAGGGAGCCCCTTCGGCCAAATAATGTCAACGTGAGCCTAGCCAAAGGCAGATGGGCTCGATCAGTGAGCAGCCCTCCGCAGCCCATTGACTGTGTACTCTCCAGCTGGTCATCATGGAGCACCTGTGACCCCTGTCAAAAGAAAAGGGTGAGTATCTGCAGCCCAGGTATTAAACATGAAATGCAAAAAATTAGAAGGTGATATTTCCTTCAATGGCATTGTCTGTGGAAATTCATACTGCTAGAGTCCTCCCCATTGTCCATGGTCATGCCCAACTTCTGCAGGGCAAATCTGCAGAAGAATAAAAGGTGGTGTGAAATTGCTTGGAGTCCAAGGCCAAGTTGCCATGGAAATGTTATCATGAGAGACTCAGGAGTGCAGAAGACTACTTGGGGAGCATAGGATCAGATCCTGAATCCCCTACTTGCTTTATAGGATGTATAGTTAGTGGTCACAGGCCTTTGGAGAGCAGGTGAGTTTCTGCAGATCTCCTGCAAGACTGTAAGTAGTCTCAACAATGCATTTCAGTGGCTTGCAACACCACACAGGCCCCAAGACTCTTTTTCATTGCTTGGTCCTGTCTATATTATACTTAGGGAGTATCTTCAAGCTGAGGAAATGACCTTATGAACCCAATGACAAACAGAGCTGTTGTGGAGAAAAGAATTCATAGGGATGCTGAGGGCCATATAAATACATAGATAGAAAATAACAGCTGAGGCCACTGGGGAGCTGT